AGGAAGGTTTTTGGCTTTAATTTGGTTGATGAAGAAGAGGGCTTTGGTTTTCGATCGCTCCAACAAGTGAATTCGTGTGAAATAATGAAGAAAGTTTTAATTTTGTGATAGGATAGGGCAGAGCAGAACCAACAAATGCCTTCGACACTGGAAAGAATGTAAGAGCAACGAGGATTTCGACGGGTTGAGGAGGGGACAACAGAGAGGGGCGCTTAGGTGTGCGTAGAGGAAGATTAAGATGCAAGGAAGAACGACACTGTGCATGGTAAGTTTGACAGGGAGGAAATTCGGCTTTGGTTCGAACAAGGAGAAGCAACAAAGAATTCAGAGGAAAACAATAAGTAGGCCTGCGGTTTTCGTGTATAAAATGAGGTGGATTGAGGCTTCATGCGTGAGAGATTGTGTGAACGGAGGAGAAGAATAAGAGGGACTAAGTGCCTCAGCGATTTGTTGCGATGGAAGACGGTTGAAAAGGATTCTTGCGTGAACAGAGGAATAAAACAGTGAATAATAACAAATAACTTATGATTTTTTGTTCGTGCGGATTTCAAACAGGAGAACAGTGGAAATGAACAGAGCAGGAACAAGTAGATGACAAATGAGAGAGGAAATACATGTAAGAGATTTACCATTTTGTTGTGTAGACTTTGATAAGGAAGAAGATTGTGAATTTCAAACAGGAAGAAAATTGTGAATTTCAAACAAGAAGAAGACTGTGGATTTTGTGAACTCCTGTGTGGTTTCAATCGAAACGAACTAAAGGGAGCGGGAAAGAAAAGAGGCAATCAAAATGAAAGGGCATTCCGCTTGGTTCATTTGTTTGTAATCAGGAGTGAGAACAATTATTTCATTTAGGTATGCTTTTATGTCAGAAAGGTGGTGTGTGAGTGGAAAAACATGGGGAATGTTTAGTGATTTAGAATATGAGTAGAAATATATATTTCTACCTTTTTGGAGAAATTGGTGAGGGGATTTTGAGAGAATCTGTAAGGGAATGTTCCAGCCTTGCATGGATTAGCGGGAGATTTTGTGGAAGAGATTTTCATCTTTCTTTCAAGGGGAAAAAACTAAGTATTGTGTTCTTCATTATCTTATGATTTTGTAAACACTTATCTAGTGGATTTGCTTTGATGAAATGAATTTTTTCGTTATGTTTTCTTCGTGCTTTGTGTTGTGTTTTTCTTACTCTTTCTTCTTATTAGGACATAGTAGCATGAGAGAATTATGTCATTGTTTTCCTTTTAATTTTCTTGTACAACGAGTAGGATTCCTGTAAGATTTTAGGATGCATGCTAGAAGAAGTTTTAATTATAAATGTGATGGTTTTTACTTGCACTTCATTTACATTACAATAAGAGCTCATTGTAATGTTAAAATTTGTTGTAATTGCATTAAGTCCCGAGAGGGCGGTGTAATTCTCAACAAAGTGGAACCACATTCAAATTCTATGGATGGTGAAGTTCATGGGTTTGAGTGCAAATAAATAGGGAAATATATATATATTACTGGGCGAAGAATATAATTAATCGAAATTTCATTTAGGAGTAGTTGCTAGATAAAACACCATTTTAATCGAAATTCCAAACTAAGGACTAATATTAGTAGAATGAAATTTGACTAAAGACCTATTTTCTCGCTTCCTCGTGGGATCGATATTTGGGGCTTAATCAAAAAATTCTATATTACTTAAAGCGATATGTGCACTTGCGTAGCACTTGCGTAGAACCCATTGCGTGTGAACTATTTGCTATGTTTTATGACATTTCATTTTTGCATATTAACTACTTAATATAAATTGGGTTAAGTTATTGACCATATTTTTTAAAACTAAATTACTGACGGGTCAAGTTTTTAGCACTGTACCAAGGATTTAAACTGATATAAAACACGCAGAAAAATAACACACGCTAGGGGCGCATCAGCTAACAAATTTTCTTTCGATGCATTTGGCGTCTTGCTTGCCATTTAGAAGGCTTCATAACTTGTGTCGTGCGACAGTGTGCTGTTTTGTTTTTATTTGGAAATATTTTCAATCACGTGAACAGTTATTTAAGTGATATGGGGCCTTACTACGGTGGTTGTTTGAAAAGCTTTCAAGGGAATTATAGGCTTAAGCTTATGTCAAGAGAATCACAATGGCAGTGGTACATGTGATGGAATTTTGATCCATGACACTAGTTCTCGCAAAAAACTTCAAATCATATGAAAATTAGGAGTCCAATCAGGCATAAGCAAGGGGGCAAAATTGGCAAGATTCAAGTTTTGAAGTTTAATAATTCAATTACCATGATTATAAATTAATAATTGTATTAACATTATACTCAGGGTCATTTTGGGGCAATTGTAACTTAGCAATAAATTGCTGTGCAACAGCTACCCCAGGAAGAAACTGCTGCGGATAAGTTGACTGTCTGTTTGTTTTTGCAGCTTGAAAACACCTGCGCAGCAGCTGTTTCAGGACAAATGACTATTATGCTTTTGTGTAGTAATGCTATTTGTAACAGAACTGTCATGACAATATATTTGATACTTGAGAAACAAAAATCAACTTCAGAACAGTACATAAAATAAGATATACACCTCACTTATCCTTTTATAGTTTGTGTTCTGATGTTTTTAATAGAAAATGATGGAAAAATATATATTTTATATTAATAATTAATTAATTATAAAAATACATCCATGGCGTGTCGTGTCCAAATTTTTTCAATTATGTCGTGTCCCCGTGTTCGTGTTTCATTGGAATCCGATTGCTTGAGAGCAATGTTGAGAGGAGTCCAATTGATGAGGTCTATGGATTTGTAGTGCCCCCAAGTGATGCTGCCCACTGTGTTGAATATTGATTGTATGGGTAGAATAGGTGATAGATAACATTGTAGAGCATTGTTCCTATGTGATTTTATTGGCAATTGGCTTTAATGAGGAGCTCCTTGAAAAAACAAGTTGATATAGTTTTCAAACAATATCACTTTGTAATATTTGGGCTAAATCATTCCAAAAAATATTGTTTAACAACATTAATTATATTTTCTTAAATCTCATTTTCATTAGTTTTAAGGCAAAAAATTGAATTTACTAAATCCCAGTAAGGGGGGAAGTTAAGGGACACCACTCACCATATGCCTCTCATTCTTTTTCATTCAAATCTCGAATCTTGAAAATATATACCAAACAAATTATAAATAGGATTTAACATCTATCATGTCAATCGAATTTCGGGAGTCAAGTAAAACTTGATTCACAAAATATACTAAATTAAAGTTGATATAAATCCTATTTGTTGCCAAATAACTACTAAATGAAATATCTCGAGTAATATAAATTGTGTGAGAGAACTAACTTATTTTATAGTATCCAAAAAACCAAAAAAAAAAATTGATTTGTTGACTTTGATTTGTTGACTTAAGACAATAATACACAAGGAATTAGGGATTCTTGCAGATTTAGAAAAAGTCCACGCATTGAGCAGCGAGTTGAATTAATTCAAATATAAATTTATTCATACTAAAATCACTTGTATGAGAGCTGAGGATATGAATGGTACAATTTGGATCTGACAGCTTCCATGAACGTAAGATTTCTATTTGTTCGCATGAAAACAATCATAAAATTGGGGATACTTGCAGATTTAGAAAAATTCCACGCATTGAGCATTGAGTTGAATTAATTCAAATATAAATCTATTCATACTAAAATTAATTATATGAGAGCTGAGGATATGAATGGTGCAATTTGGATCTGGCTGCTTCCATGAACGTAAAATTTCAATTTGTTCGCATGAAAACAATCATAAAGAAAATATAGATTAGGAGCTAATCACGAGCATCTTAGAATAGTTACCAAAGATTAATAAAATGGATTAACAATGTTGGAAAGAACTAAAAGAAGCAGGAAAACCATTAAGCAAGTTCTGAGCAAGCTGGAAATGAAAATGATCTCTGTACTGTTTGCTTGCGATAGAGAAAAGGGTTTTGGAATCTGGATTCAGGACATGTCCTCGAGAAGAGTTGCTCCAGCAAGTAGGTGAAGAATTGAAGTTGCTGACCTATAGATTAGGGCTTTGTGTTTGTTGGAAAAGGAAATCATCATTTGCCATAAGGCCAAGGGATTAGGTTCGAGGACGAGCGGGGCACGAGAGGGGAGCGGGTTAGGGCAGAAGATGCGAAGGGCACTTGAGTACAAATATCACAAAGAAATGCGTGTTGCGGGGTCAAACTTGTGGCCCGCATTTTTATTAAAATGTCGAAAACCCAGCTGTGATGCTGTGCCGCCGCCGCCTTAAACGACGCAGAACAATGTCTCCGCGCCGCCGTCGCTGCTCCAATTAGACCTTCAATTAAATGGGTCTGTATTTTCAAAATTGCTTCTGAATTCAACAAAATTATAAAAGTATTTAGAATATTCATATGAAACTTACCACTTAGAATGTAAATGGCAAAACAATATGATTTCCAAAACCAGAATAAATTTTCATAAATTTATTTTTATAGCTCTTAAATTATCAATATAAAATATGTAATTTTTATTTTTCTTTATTAAATATATCCGTGGATGATATTTAATATCATAAAATAAACTTACAAATGATACAGAAAAATAAACATGGTTAATAAAGAAGGAAACACATTATTTAGCTATGAAATAATGAATAATCCTTTTTTAGTATCACTTGTTTAGCTAATATTTCTTTTACCCTCAAAATGTCAAAAAATTTCTAAAATAATGAATGCTAATGGCATCATCAAAATAATCAAATAAAACGTGGTTACTTGAGATTAACACACTTCATTTCAGGGTTATCTCTAGCACCGACACTAATGTGCTCTTCAAAGACACTTTCACCTTCATATAAAAAAACACATCTTATAAATATGTCTCATCAAAAGAGAGATTAATATTCTTATAGTATTTTAAATATTATCCATTGTAGTAAATCTATCTCCATTAATGTTCCAAATGTTTCTTATTTATTTTTATTTTAATTTTTTTTTTTGCTATAGTATAATGACTCCATACTTCTTGGAGGAGGTTAAATTTTCGGAGGATGAACTGCGTTTAAGTCAAGATGGTGGTGCGTCCATCCTCTATTATATGCAGAAGATATATCCAGGTACCAGTTTGTGATTAGCATCAATATACCGAGTCACTAAATTTAATTTTATTTTGATGCTTTTGATTAGTCATCTTAATTACTTCAGATGAGTGGAAGAACCTTTTGGAACGATTCAACTATAACATAACAGATGACGACACTCGATGTTGGGCTTCTTTCCGTGGACAAACATTGAGCCGAACAGGTGAAGGGTAGCAAAAGAGAAGGAACTGCTATTTCTATTGATTTGATGTGCCAAGAGAAGTTATAGCATGACAATATTCTTTTGCATATCTTGCTCTAACATATGTTTTGAATCTTTCCTTATTGAAATAGTAAGGGGAATGATGTATTATAGGAAAGCATTGAAATTACAAGCATTTCTGGACATATGTAGCAATCAAGGTAATCTTCAGCTAAAAGAAGCATGCCTTAGATTTGTTAATTTTCCACTGTTATTATATTTATTAATTTTAAAATTGCATTTGTATTGTTGTCAGGTAAAATGATCATATTCAGCAAATCTTCCAATTTTCATCTTATTCTTTTCCTTAAATTTGTTAATCAGATATTGCCAAAGGATGTATTGCCATTGAAAGAGATAAAAATCAGAAAAACAGTCAAAATTCGCTGGCAGCAAAGCTTGATGCATTAATTGACATGAAATTCACATACATCATCTCTTGTCAGATGTTTGGATTACAAAAAGCAGCGGGGGATTCTCATGCGCAAGATATTATTGATTTGATGTCAAGGTCTGCTCAGTTATTAAGGAATAGGTAGTATGCTTTTCAATGTTTTGTTTATTGAAATTTCAATTTCCAATTTACATCATAAATGTAGGTATCCATCACTACGTGTGGCCTACATTGAAGAAAAGGAAGAAATTGTAGATGGCAAGCCTCACAAGGTTTATTCTTCAGTTTTAATAAAAGCTGTGAATAATTTAGACCAGGTAACTATTTTTTATTTATGATGGCAGGCATGAAACAATATACATGTATGAGAAAAATAGAATTCTCTAGAAAGTAGAGTTACAATTGCATGGGGAAAAAGTTTGCTCTATAGGAAGAATATTAATCTATGGAATGCCTCGAATTTCTTTTTCTAAAGATTGTTTTGTTCTGTTAGATATATATGGATGACCATATAACTATGTAAATGCAGCTTCTCTGTAAATTGGAGATCAACTCTACAAAAATTCACGTTTGATGGTTTTAATGTGATTTATTTCAGCCTACTCATATGATGCTGATGGCGGATGCCCCATACGAATGTTTTCTTCTTTGACTATATTGTCCTTTACCTGACGTGTACAATAGAGATTCATCAAATGGTTTTACGAATATTTAGACAAATGAAACTTACCTTCTCAGCCATATCAATGCTATTTAACAAAGGAAAGTGCACCTCTTAGTAGTGATTCTTCAATCATTTTAACTAAAATTTCCAAGATACAAATTCTATCGCAAATCATGATCCTGAAGATTTATGTGGATAAAATGCAAGATCCTGAGCTCATTTATGAACATTTTGTTGGATAGAAAGAACCCTATTGGCAGAAAAATGCTGAAGTAGGATTGATGAGGCTGGCATGAGTTGCTGGCATAATGCTTTTTGCGATGATTGGGACCATTACATCTATGGATTGCAAAGAGCATGTTCCTGTGCTTGACAAACTGTTGACATCTGCCATTATAGCAATTTACAATTTCATAGAAAATTAAAGTAAATTATCTGTCTTTTTATTTTTGATATGTTCAAGTGGCATTATATATATTGAATTAAGAGATGTTAGGATGTATCTAGAATAAGCAAATGTATCAGAATTGCTTTTATTAAAAAAAAAAATATAAATGAGCTACATAGTTTGTAAAGGACACTGAAAATTTTATGGCATGGTTCTTGTTATCTAAATGACTTCTGTGGGAGTTGATTTAATCTCTCTTGTTCTGCATTTTATTGTTGTCCCAAGTTTTGCAAGTCCACTTCTTGAGTTTTTCGGCTTTGATGAGCTATTCAAAAAGATTGCAAAAGTTTTGGCAATCTTTTATCGTTGTTGTGATCCCCGTGGAAAACACCATACTTTAATAAACTGCGGGGTATGATGCATGCGTATAGTGGAGATAGTTTATGGAAGTAGTCAATGTCTTTAAGAATATTCAAAGTTGAAGTCACCATGATGTCTATCTAATTGGTTGATGTGGATGATATCTTCTCAAATCTCTATCTATGAAACGTGGACACTTCTAAATGGCCTAGACACTTCTTCGACACATTTTTTACCTGCCATAATTTTTTTTCCTATAAATATGGGCTTTTACGTAGTGTAGGCACAACAAGGACACAATGGGGCATGGCAGTACATGACAAGGACATGACGGGATATGGATGATTTCTTGTGTGGTAAAATATTTTTTTACTGTTAATCTTATTCGGTTATTTCTATCTTTAGAAAGTTTCTTTTATGATATTAGATTTAACTTGTGATGTTGGAGAGTAACAAAGAAATTATTGATTTTGTATTAATAATTGATTAAATATAAAAACATATTCATGGCCTGTCATGTTCTTTACTATTTATAATGTCGTAATATCCGTGTTGTGTTATGTTCGTGTCCCCGTATCCGTGTTTGTGCTTGTTGACCTCATTTTTAGTGAGGCCTTATTCTCCTACTTTTAGAACCTAGGATCTAGCTTTAGGAGTTCTTATTGCCCATCCTAGCGGATTAGTAATGGAGCCAACCTCCCGTAGAACTTCAAGCCACTTCTTGACTCATTTTTGTGAAGAACTCGCATGAGTGGTTCCAAGCACTCAACTTCTAGTTGCAAGGGCTAAGGACCAACATGTAGAGGACCCGAAAATGAGTTCCTATAGGATCAAATGCCCTTAGGTAAATCATTTGTGACTCGATTACTCGTGAATGCTGCAATTCACGCACTCACTGCACCATACACGACTTTGACTTAAATCGACACGCCCGCCGGCCGCCCGTCGGCGAACTCGTTCGAACGACCTCGGATGACAAAATGGACCGCGCCAACGCGTCCAGGACGTCGACTTTAGCTAAGAAGGACACCCGTATTGCTAGGGTTACGCGCGCACACAAATGACACAAAAACTGATGCATTTTTTTTAAATAACATGGCACGGGTTCGGGCTAGACCCGGGTTCAATTTGACCTCGGAACCGGCTGAACATGAGCTAGGGCCATTTCAAATTTCAAAATTTTAAATTTCAAATCAGCCACATAATTTCATCTTAATTAAATCTAATTAGGGATTATTACTTACCTAATAAAACTGTCCCTGGATGAACTCATTCAATTCCCCGCCAACGCCTCCCGTAACGTCTCTTCGGCTATACAACCTCTCCCTGGCATTCGAATCAGGCGGTCACCGAAAGCTGCTCCTCCTTCGGCTCAATCTCATTTGCCCCTCTTCTTCTTCGCCTCCTCCTTTTGCGAGCTCGCCTCCCTGCAACTCTCATACCGAAACCCCCTTTGCGCTGCTCGCCCTTGCTCGACTAGCCTGTCCCTCTCAATCCCGTTTGCATCTTCACCTCGGCACAGACCTATATCGGCTTCACTTTCCCTGCTCGAATTCCTCCCCCTCGCGCGATCTCCTCCTTCTCGCGCCGAAGACCCTCACTCGCCTCACCTGCTCCTCTTTGCGACTCGATCGCAGCTCCCGATCGAAGCATCTGTTGCCCGCCCGACTCCCTCGTCTCCCCTCTGCACTAGGAGCCCTCGCACCCCTCTCACCTCTGCAAACCGAAGGAGCCCCTGTTCGACTCTCTGTCCTTCCTCGTTCGACCGAACAGTCCCGCTCGCCCTTCTCCCGCTCCTCTCTAGATTTCGCCAGGATACTGGCCCTCGTGACTGAAGCTCTGCGATAGATTGACAATTAGAATTAGCCAGGAAGGCATTACGAGGTTCTCTGAGGCTTGCATCTTCCTCCTTTCAGAGCTACAACTTCTCTAAAGTCGGTAAAACTCTCTTATTCCCGGGTTTATGCTCCAGTTTCCTACTCATATATCATTAAAGATGAAATAAAATCATTGCTATTTTTTACAATACGAACAAGTGTTTGCACTGTATTTTTTTGGCATCACCAATTCTGACCAATTCTTATAAAATTGATTTTTATTTGGGAGGATCTACACACAAGATTTAAATATTTCAATTATGAGAAATTCATATACATACCATATAACCCTTTTTTATTTACATATCCAATACCCAAGTTTTGGAATCAACTTGTATGTCAATTATATGTACTTGTATGCCTAATATATAAGCTTTGTTTTACATGCACGCTACTAAATTGCTATGTGTTTGCATATCTATCAAATTGGCTTCAATTTTTACGTGCATACCATACAATGCTTATATCCTCTGTATATGTGGAACCTAAGCTTTATAATTACACCACTCTGATCTTTAATTTTACATAAGGGGTACTTCTATTTCTTAATGTGAAATGTACATTTTCATGCTTAGGATTTGTACGTTGTTTTGGAAATAATTTGGGCACCATTTTGGAGCAATTTCGACACTGTTTTTTTTTGTGTTTTTGCTTGTTGATTTAGAGAGGCTTACACAATGTTTTGAGGCGAATTTAAGGTCTGATTTTAATGCACTGTTTTGGAACCACTTTAGGTGCCAATTTGAACTGATTTAGTGCACTGTTTTGGAGTCATTATAGGTGTTGATTTGGGCTGATTTTGATCGTTGTTTTGGAGTCACTTTATGTGTCGATTCGGGACGATTTTGTGCGCTGTCTTGGAACAAACTTGAGCACTCTTCTTGAGAGTTTATTTAATTACAGTTGTTGAAAGAATTGAAGCGCTTTCAGGACCAATTCACTTTCTGTTTTCCCCTTTTTGGTTGCTAGTTTTTGGGGGTGGATCGGTCTGCTTTTTTTTATTTTGTTTGTTGCTTTTAAATGATTAAGTCATAAAGATGGGGATTGATGATTTAATTAAGGGTTTGTTTGGCGCAGCTGCAGATTCTCAGCTTTTCAGCTGCAGCTGCGCTGCCCCCGATGACCAAACTGCCCCTGTTTGTTAAAACTGTTTTTAATTTTTGGTTTATTTGTATTAATTTGAGTGTGAAATACATAAAATTCAGAAAAATAGTATTTCTTTATAGAAATTTTTTTAAAAAAATTTTGTAATTTCGAATACCTATTTGAAAAAAAAGAAAATTTTGTTAAAAAATATTTTATATATTTTCAAACAGAATATTATTTATTTATAGAAAGTTTTTTAAAAATATAGTTTTTTGAAAAATATTTTTATCATGAGATCATGGTTTGTTGGACATTTCACATAAGTTTTTGAAAAATATTTAACATCTAAAATTACATATTTTGTTGGATAACACTTAATTTTTTAAGAGCATAATTCAACAAAAGTTTCTTGAAAACCCATTATAATCTAAACAGCTACCAAGTAAATGCAATTAATGATCATTCATAACCATTTATGAGAAGTTTAAATCCTTAATAGAGTTATTTATTACATCACCAGTGAAGTAAATTAATATCTCCTAACAAACACTCCTAATTTGACTGTTTTGTCATTATAAGAAATTGCAAATCAATCAAATATTAACCAACGCATTAGTTATTTGTTCTCGAATGGCCGTCATTTCAATTGCACCTTCCCCCTCCTTAGTACAAATGGTTGATTGTTCACTCTCATCTTGTAACATAGAACTACCAATTTGGTTTTCAGATGGGTCTTCAGCTATTTCCTGTTGATTTGCGTCAGCATTGAGGAAGTCAACGTCATATCGAGACGGGTGTCGCCTAATATAATTGTGTATTGTTATCGTCGCTATTACAATCTGAACCTGTTTTGGAAATGGGTAAGGAGGCATATCACGTAATATCACCCACTTCTTCTTCCAGACACCAAATGTTCTCTCGATGACGCCTCGCAAGGAAGAA